ATTTACACATGCATAAATATTTGGACACATGTCAGTGTGTGTGGAGGAGGCTCGTGAAGGACGCTGCTACTGGGCAGTTGGAGGCAGTCGCCCTCCAGCAACAACGGAGGGCAGAGGAACGACGCTCACAACAACGAGCGGAGCGCCGGACGGCTAAAATGCAGCGAGTTGGCACAGTAGTGGGTACAGCTGGTGGTGCATCTACCGGTCATCTCAGTCAGCCGACCCATGGCACCTGCTGTATCTGTCCCGTGATCTGTCAGCGAGACTTGGACACTTCACGTGGCATTAACGTGCACCTGGCCTGGCACAGGTGCCGTGGTGGCGGCGCCGTCACTTAGTGGCATGTGTCGGGTATTGGTGTGTAAGTGTGTTTGTATTAGGGGGCATCTTTTTTTATTGTACCTTTGTGTGTATTAGTTCGTCTTTGTTTATTAACGTTGCTGCTCTGCAATATTTATTTTATATAATATCCGATATTAATATTCATGATATGCCGATTATTGCAATGTCGGCTTCTCCCGTACATTTGTTGTTGTATTTTGTTAATTTAATGTTTTGCGTTTATGGATCGTGCTGTATTTCCAGTGTCAGTAACGATTTAGCAATAATAAATTGCCCACGTCTTTTTTCACTACGTGACAACTTTGTTCATTGGCTGTGTCGGGTGGAGGAGGGTGCACGGCAGTCGATTTACGCCGTCTTTCCCAAAATGTAATTATTAATCCTAAGCCTCGGCGGTAATTCTAAGATAAAATATTTTTCTCATTTTGCCAGGTAAAGCCCACTGAGATGCTATGTAAATATTTTTCAGAAGCGACCTGGCTATCACAAATGATAGGTCAATGAAAGCGGCTCATCATCATCGTCAACGTGTGGCAATTTATAGCAGCAGTCACATACTCCAAACGCGTGACGTTTCAAAATGTGGAGGGAAAAACCGCAGGACCCCGAGGAGAAAAATCTACGTGACAATGGGGAGAACACGCAGGGTCGGGATCAAACCTGCAACCTCCTGTATACCACGCGAGGTAGTTAACATCCCCTAGCCAAAGTGATGATGATGAGACAGAGAGACACACTCAAACCTCAAATATACAGCAGCAGGCGTCAGGGTCAGGATCGAACCTGCAATCTCCTGTATACCAGGCGAGGTAGTTAACATCTCATAGCCAAAGTGATGATGATGAGACAGAGAGACACACTCAAACCTCAAATATACAGCAGCAGGCGTCAGGGTCGGGATCGAACTTGCAACCTCCTGTATACCGGGCGAGGTAGTTAACAGCTCCTAGCCAAAGTGATGATGAGACAGAGAGACACACTCAAACCTCAAATATACAGCAGCAGGCGTCAGGGTCGGGATCGAACCTACAACCTCCTGTATACCACGCGAGGTAGTTAACATATTGCCACCGTGGCGTCCCTTCACTCGGTGTAAGCCTGCCATCAGAATGTTTTGCCTGCCAAGTTTAAGTTGAGTTATGCGTTCATTTATTTTACACTCAACCTGGACCCCCCCCCCGTATTGTGAAGGGACAGGGGGAAACTTCCCCTTTAAGATGGGCAGTTCATCAGCATTTGTTCAAGAAACACGCACTGGCTCTGCTGCTGATGCAACACTAAAGGTCGATACCTGGCCCTTGCCTATGAACATTTGGGAAGTTTACCAGCGTTGATTCAAGCAATAAGCCCTGGACTGCTAATGAGACACTGAGTGTCGAAACTGGTCCGGAGCTCTGCTTGTGTTGACATAACGCTGCTGAAATGTAATGCACTCTCAGACGGCCGTGCGTGCGGCTCACGGGGTTGTGCAAGATATACTATTTTTGGGGGAATATTTTTACGTGGAGAGATGGATATGTGGGGGGGGGGGCACACAGATTGTCCGATTATTAATATTGCCAAGATTATTTTAATCACGGCGACTGCATGTGTAATGCACATGCCGGAAGTTGCACAATAATACGTTGAATGATCACACGGACCACAGAAATGACGTTGACATAAAGCCACCACTCCGCCAATTTGCATTTAGCAAAAGCACAAAGTGAACGTGCATTGCTTAATTTGTCGTAAACTTGAATTTTCTTTGCGTTTTTTCCCCCCTCCCTCCCTCCCTACCCAAGTTCGAAATATATATCGTCAGTGAATTAAAACGATCGAAGACCTTCGACCACTTGGCGAAGCCGAGCACGCGATTGTCACGGATCTGAAATTGTGCGACGGCACCGGGCAGCATCTCTGCATCGCCGGCAAGCCGGGAGGGCGCTTACCGTCATTAGGCTCGATACGCGCCACGTTAAGCTGACACCGCGTTGAGCGGGGGAATTACCAATTCATCAAGTTACCGAGTTGTTATCAGAGCACGTGCGTTTGCATGTTCACCACAAGTACGTGTGGTTGACTTGCTTCCTTGCAAAAGGTTTCCGTTTGGTGTTTGAACATCTTAACACATTCTGTTTTATTGCTAGAGAAAAAAAAAACCTATTCTTATTTCTTACCGAGTCACTTTTGCACCGTAAACTCAGCCTGCAGACATCCCCACGGCGGGACAAAGAACTGAGATGAGGGTGCGCCGCTACGTTGCTCTGCTGTATCACTCCGTGTGCTGCCATTCCACTCAGCCGCGCAGCTCAAGAAATTCAAGGTAGTCCCCGACTTACGATGGAGATGCGTTAGGACGACCCCATCGTAAGTCAAAAATATCGTAAGTCGAAGATGGCCGAGCCTACGCACGAGTCTTTAAGAATGGTGATAATTTTAGCAAAACAGAGCAATTTACAGTACCGTACTGTATACACTATATACTGTATGTATTAATTACAATACTGCATTGCACAGTAAAATGTAAAATAAAAAAAAAACATTGTAAATCCTTAGCCTACCGATATGAACTGCAAATTTAGTAGAACGTTTTTTCAGGAAACAATCCGAAGTTAACTCCGTCGACCGCTGGGTGAGAGTCAGGCATCGCCACGCAAGGCGGGAGACGCGTACATCCTGGCAGCGTCCCGACGCACAGTATCGTACCTCGTGCGCCGCTGCGTTTTGCCTGCCGCGTGAAATGTAAAATATTTCACAATTTTTGTCGTATCGCCATCGTCAGATCGAAATATCGTAAGTCGGGGACTAGCTATAGTTCGCTGTCGACGGCTCAGAAAACCGCGTTAGGGCGGCACTCGTTCCCCACCATAACGGGGTGCGCGTTCCCCATCATAACGGGGCGTGTTCCGCCTTTTGACGATGCGCGTTGCCGTATAGCCTATGGAGGCTGGAACGGAGCACGAGGGGGCAGCACAGCAGGTACTCATTTAAGGCGGAGTCGACCTACGGGAGGCCCAAGAGCGGCAATGGCAGTGATTAGCGCGCTGCGCTGCGAACCCGGTCCGCCCGAGTTAAATTCCCGCTCATGGGCAATATCGGTGACGATTATCTGAACCGCTTATGGGCCTCCCCCTAGGTAGACTCGGCCCGTATTAAATACTCGATGCGGTGTGTAAACATCAGCAGTCGGGAGACAAAGGTGGCCGGGTCTGTGGTGCTGGCCACCCCCACCTCCTTGTGCGCCTTACTGCCCTTAATTGGTGCTCGCTAACAGCCCCAACGTTCTTATAAAGGCTATACAGGGCACCTTTGTTTCTGTGCCTGTGTGTACCTATATATACATTAAGAGCGCATGTGTGTGTGTGTATGTACGAGAGTGTATATTTCTCTGCGTCTGTGCACATACATGAGAGAGTCTCTGTGCGCATGCCATACTCTTTTAGGCTTCCTGGTGAGCCACTGCTACCCCCTACTGTGCCTTATATGTCTCTGTCTCCCTGTGCACAAGAGTGTCTCTGTCTCAATATGTATGAGAGTGTCTCTATGCCTCTAGGTATCCGGGAGTGCCACTGTTCCTCGCTGCTGTGTCTCTGTGTCACTGCCTATGATTGTATTTATGTCTGTATATGATGATAGTTTGTATGAATTATAGTGTTTCTCTCTGTGAGTATATGCAATAGTCTCTCTGTGTGTGTTCTAGGCTCTCCCCACCCACCCCCTCGTGTGCCGTGCCAGCCTTCATAGGTTCCACTTGCTAACAGCACTTGCCCCAACAGTCTGTTAAGGCTATACGGGGGATCTTTGTACTTGTAAGACTGTACAAAGTCTGCGTTGGTTGGGTCATGTAGCCCGCATGCCCAGCCACCGCATGCCTAAACATTTGTTTGGCCGGATAGGGGGGCTAAATGGACGCAAATGGGCTGGAGAAGAGATTGAGTGATGTGGTACAAGAGAATGTGGATCTGAGTGGACTTGCCGATGACTGGTACCAGCGGTGTCAAGATCGGCCTCTGTGGAGGAGGCTCGTGAAGGACGCTACCGGGTGTTGGAGGCAGTTGCCCTCCAACAACAACGGAGGGCGGAGGAGTGACGCTCACAACAACGAGCGGAGTGCCGGGTGGCTAAAGCACAGCAGGTTGGCACAGTAGGGGGCACAGGTGGTGCATCAGCCAGTCATCTCAATCATTCAACCCATGGCACCTGGGTCTTTCCTGTGACCTCCTGCCAGTGGACGTTCGACACTTCATGTGGCCGTAACGTGCACATAGCCTGGCACAAGCGCTGTGGTGACGTCACCGCCACTTAGTGGCGAATGGCGGTTGTTGTGTGTAAGAGAGTCTGTCTGTGTGTCTCTTTCTATGAATGTGTGTGTATGTGTGTGTGTAAGAGGAGTCCCTCTGTGTTTATCTGAGTGTATATGTAAGTATAAGAGTCTCTCTTTTTGTGTCTGTGAGTGTGTGTGTATGTATAAGAGAGTCTCTCTGTGTATCTCTGTCTATAAGCGAGTGTGCGTGTGTCAGCGAGCCTCTCTGTCAATGTGTGTGTGTATGTTTTATAGGGTCTCTCTCTCTTTTTGTGTGTGTGTGTATAAAAGTCCCTCTCTGTGTCTCTGTCTATGAGTGTGTATGTATGTGTAAGAGAGTCTGTCGTCTCTCTGTGTGCGTGCACTCTAGGCTCCCTGGTGAGCCACTGCTCCCCCCTGCTGGCGATCGGACGGCTGCAGCCGATGCTCTTCCAGCTGCTGGACACTCTGCTGCAGCCCGGCGTGCTGATGCAGCCGGGGAGAGAGGCTCCCCCGGGCATCGTTGCCGCTCTCACCGGCACCATGGCGCTGTTCCTACAGGCAGGTGCACGCACAAAGACTAAGGATCACACCCCCGTGTGACCTTCAACAGGCCCGTCTACACAGGTGACGCATAGACAACTCTGGTAAACGTACGTTCACGCAGACACAGAGATGTTCACACAAGTATATATACACACACAGCACCCTAGCGCAAGGCATGTTTACACAGGGATACAGACAACACTCATACATACATATACTTACAGATGTGCGCAGAAACACAGATACATTGCATGTACACAGATATTCATATGTGCATACATATATATATACAAAAGACAAAGATCTCTGTATATCCTGAACAGACTGTCGGGGGCAAGTGCTGTTAGCGAGCAGCAGCTATGAAGGCCGGCACGGCACACGAGGTGGGGGGGTGAGTGGGTAACCAGTGCATCGCCCGGGTTTTAAGGCTGAGTCGACATAGGGGAGGCCCAGGACCGGTTCATATAATCGTCACTGGTGTTGGCCGTGAGCAGAAATCAAATTCGGGTCGCCGGATTCATAGTGCAGCGTAGCGCTAACCGCTGCACGACCGCTCCCCATACGTACACACAAGCACACATTCATAGAGACCTGCAGGTGACGTGTATACTTACACATAGACACATGCTTTTATGTATACGTATATACAGTAGTATGCAACACACTTGTATACATACACAACACTAGTGTTGTTAAAGTAGGGCTTTTGCTGAATGATTGGTGACCACGTGCAAAATCTATTTGTAAAAGAAAACGGTTTAAACTGGACTCGCAACCCAGGAGGTAGCGTGCGGTGTTGGGAGAAAGCGTGGGCGTAACTCCCACTTTAAAAAGGTGCCGATCCGTGTGGAAGAGTAGGCCAGATGCCTATTAAACTTTTAAACTGTAAAAAATATTTTATTATACGTAAGTTAAGGCCCACTGAACTACGTAGCTCTTTTTCAGAAGCGACCTGGCCACAAATGATAGCTCAACTAAGTGGCTTATGGGGAAATTTAGAGCACTCTAAACGCGTGATGATGATTCTAAACGTGGAGGGAAAAATTGGAGCACCCGGAGAAAAATCCACACGACCACGGGGAGAGAGAGAGATGCGCAAACTCAAAATATACATCAGGCGTCAGGGTCGGGATCGAGCCCACGACCTCCTGTATACCAGGCGAAGTAGTTAACATTTCATATCCACCGTGATGATGATGAGAGAGAGAGACACGAAAACTCCAAATATACAGCCAGCGTCAGGTTCGAGGTCGAACCCACGACCTCCTATATACCATGCGAGGGAGTTAACATCTCCTAGCCACCATGGCGCCCTACCACTCGACAGAGGGCTCCCTCTGGAGGAGCTCGCACATAAGTCTTTAGTGGGCCGTCTGTGAAAAAGAACTTCGTAGCTTATCAGATTATCCCATTTTGATGTTGTTGCGCCAGCTGTTGAATGACATGACGACAATTATATATATTGAGATGACGATGCTAATGCTGCTGCTATTAGTGATGATGGAAGGCCCCTTCCGCCAGCAGTGGCGTGCGCGAGGAATTCCAGGAAGTTTAGTCCCTCGAGCAGTTAAAATTCAGCAACAAAACAAGCTATGGATGAGAGTTTTCGTATTTTTTAAGTGGTATAAATAATGAGACAGCAATTAATTGTGACGCACTACGGGGTGACGAGTGCATTGGTGTAAGGATTTTTTTAGAAAAGGATTATTAAACAGTGGTTGCACTTATTCGCAACGCTACTATTTGGGATAAATACATTCTGTAATTGGTCTATTCGTTTAAATTACACGTTTCATCCTCAGCTTGTTTTAGGGAATTGTAATTTCAGATGCTAAACTTTAATTATTATTTGTTCTTATCGTTGATAATGAACACTCGCTTGTAAAAAAGTATTTACTTTTCTCATGAATATTTTGGTAAGAAGCAAAGGCGTTTGCTTCTGAGCTCTCTACAAAGTGATTAAACTTCTGGTGCATGTACGTATACGTGTAGCGGTTAGCGTGCTGCGCTACGAACCCGGCGACCCAAATTCGATTCCCGCTCATAGCCAACAACACCAGTGACGATTATCTGAACCGGTCCTGGGCCTCCCCCTAGGTCGACTCAGCCTCAAATGTGTCCCGGGTGCGGTGTGTAGCAAACATCGCCACTGGGGAAACATAAGGCGGCCCAGCGTGGTGTTGGCCACGCGGTCCCTCGTGTGCCGTGCCGGCCTTCACAGGCGCTACTCGCTAACAGCACTTGCCTCAACAGTCTGTTAAGGCTGCACGGGGGGATCCATTGTCCTTGTCTTGCATATGTATTGTGCGCATAAGTGTGGGAAGCGGTAGTGCAGCGGGTAGTGCGTTGCGCTACGAACCCGGCGATCCGAGTTCGATTCCCGCTCGTGGCCACCGACACCAGTGGCAGCGATGATCTGAATTGGTCCTGGGCCTATCCTAGGTAGACTCGGCTTCAAATTAATACCGGGGTGCTGAGTGAAAAGTTTGTTTTTTGTCATTCCCCCGCACCTCCGCTTAATTAGCACGGTTGGCTACGTACAATGCGAAAGAAGTTAAACATACATGAATACATACATAAACACACCATCACTTGGGGAGAGGAACGATGTTGTGTGCCTTGCCGGGCTTAATAGGTGCTCCCTAACGGGGTGGCATGGTTTCAAGATGTTAACTGCCTCACCTGGTATGCAAGAAGTCGTTGGTTCGATCCCAACCCTGATGCCTGCTGTATATTTGAAGTTTGCCTGTCTCTCTCATCATCATCATCATCACGGTGGCTAGGAGATGTTAACTTCCTCGCCTGGGTTACAGGAGGTCCTACATGTCTCTCTCTCCCCGTGGCCACGTGGATTGTTCTCCGGGCCCTCCGTTTTTTCCCTCCACATTTAGAATCAACGTCACGCGTTTAGAGTATTTGGCTGCTGTAAATGTCCACGTGACGGTAAGCCACTCCATTGAGCTATCGCTCGTGATGGCCAGGTCCAAGGCTGGATTATGGACTGGGCCAGTGGTGCCAGTGCCCCGGGGCCTCGGACTGCCAGGGGGCCTCCAAGCCTCAGGTCGCGCGCGGTGCGTGACCCAAGACTTCCGAAGGAAGTTGAACGGCAGGGCCCTCGGTGCGCACAATTCAAGCTGACCACTAGGCCCCCTTTGTGCTTATAGCGTAAGCTGACCACTACTGCCGCCCAGACCCCGCGGCGCTTACAATGTGATGGCCTCCGGGCCCCTTGGTGTTTAGAATGTAAGCTCACCACTAGGGCCCCCCAGGCCCCTCAGCGCTTACAATGTGAGGGCCCCCAGAGGCCCCTTGGCGTTTAAAGAGTGAGCTCACCACTCGGGCCTCTAGGCCCATAGGGCTGAAAGCGTGATCTGACCACTAGGGCCCCCGGGCCTGCAGCGCTTACAATGTGAGGCCCCTTGGTGCTTAAAGCGTGGGCTGACCACTAGGGCCCCCGGGCCCCGCAGCGCTTACAATGTGAGGCCCCTCGGTGCTTAAAGCATGGGCTGAACACTAGGGCCCCCGGGGCCCGCAGCGCTTACAATGTGAGGCCCCTCGGTGCTTAAAGCATGGGCTGACTACTTGGGCCCCCGGGCCCACAGCGCTTACAATGTGAGGCCCCTCCGCGCTTAAAGCATGGGCTGACCACTAGGGCCCCCGGGCCCCTGGGTGCTCACAGCGTGAGTTGACCACTAGGGCCCCCAGGCCCCTGGGTGCACACATCGAGCGTAAATACCTGGGGCCCCTTGGTACACGCAGTGCATGCTGAAAACGAGAGCCTCTCGGAGAGTGCAGTGCTTCTGTACAACTGAGCCACTGGTTGGCACGCTACAATACGCTGTGACAAGATACAATATTCACCAACAAGTCAGTTCATGCTGCATGACAGTTTGAAGGGCGGCATATTATGGCAAGCCGTCAGTTATTTGAGTTACCGTAACTAGCTATCCCTTTATTTTAGCTAGCTGCCCATTTTCCCGAGCTAGCTGCCCATATGATTCAGCTTGTTAACATAAATTAGTTAGCTAGCTGCCCTTACAACCAAATTAGCTGCATTAAAAAGCCAGCTAGTGAGACCGAGGGCTCGTCGGTTGTTGAGAGCTTAGTTAGCCGTTGACATCAATTATTAAAATACACCACGGTTTTGTGAAACATTAAAAAAAATGCCAAAAGATATTTTTTCATACACCGACGCATATATAAGAGACCCAATCCATACTTAAAGATTAAGGAAAACCCCAATAATTTTTTCCATAGACCATCTGTTTTTAGATACACGGAAGTAGATAATGCGATGGGGTGTAGCCTACGTGCAAGTAATGTCACTGACTTATCAGAAACCTTTGTTGGTTGTTCAGCCAATGAAAAAAAAGTTATCTTTTGAATTTCATACAACAATTCTCTCTGTGTCACGCAGGTATAGAAGACATTACTTGGTAGGAAAATCCACAGACAGATGCCTGTTTTCTTGCTTGGTGTACACCACAGTAATATGTTCAGAGACTTTTTCATCTTATTCTAAAACAACAGCCTGTTTAAAGGCTATTTCAACAAAGGGCTATTTTCTTACAGCCTTTTTAAAGGGTTATTTTATTTTTTGTGCTTTTCTATTTTTTTCTTTTATCTACTCAAAGCTGCCTTTAAGTACAAGTAGACTATAAAATACTACCACTTGATTGTGTTTTCCAACAACAGTATTTGACGGGTGTTGACATTATTAATATATATTAAATTCAATGATTATTGAATAAGTATTGAGATGCGATATAAATATATTCATATAAAAGCATACTTATTCTGAAATATGAACCACAAACGTTGTGGAGCTTCCAAAAGAAAAGCCAAAAAAGAAAAGGAGGCAAGAGAGGAAGTTTTGCTTCAAAGTGTTCCACTCATTGCCAACTTCTTTCAAAAACCCTCTGATAGTAATAATGATGACAGCAGCACTATTGTCAGCTGTGAGGAAGGAACTAGCACGAGTTCAGTTTCCACAAATGTTGTCACTCCCCCAGAGCCATCCTTTGAAGGTGAACCCTCAACAGCTCATGGTATACAAGATCCATAATTTCCACCTCAGGAGCAGTTGGGCAGTTCACAAGAATAAAATCAGCAACCAAGCCATTCCTGGTGCTATGAGGTCACTGACCCTGCATTATGGCAAAGCACTTCCAGTGACATTGTTAAGTCAGTGCTTATTGAAAGAGGAGTAGTCCCCTTCCAAAACAGCAGTGAAAAATACCCAGCTTCAGTCCGAGATAGAGCGCTTGGTGGAAAGACGAGAAGTTTCAACGATGAACTTCTGAACTGTATATTGCCAAATGGGCAGAAGGTTTCTCGACAGTGGCTACTGTACTCACCCTCAACAGGTTGTGTGTAACTGTTCTGCATGCAAACTGTTCTCCGGCAAGCTCGGTGGCTTTAGTCAGGGGTTTAGCGACTGTAAGCACTCTGAAAGAATAGGGGAACACGAAAAGAGTGCAGAACACAGATCACGCGTGCTTGCCTTGCACCAGCGGACAAAGGGCAGTGCTATAGATGAAGATCTCGTGCAGCAACTTGATGGGGAACTTAAATACTAGAGGGACATTTTGAAACGAGTTGTAGCAGTGATCAAGTTCTTGAAAGAGGACTTGCGTTTAGGGGAGATGATGAAGGGTTTGGGTGAACCCATAACGTTAGTTTCCTTGGCATCCTAGAATTGCTATCACAGTTTTTGACCCATTCTTAGCTGAACATATGAAAAAGTTTGGCGGAAAAAGGAAGAGGCACGGTGTCCTATTTGTCATCGACAAAATGTGAAGAACTCATTGAGCTAATGGGTCAGAAAACTCACCAAACAATAGATGAGATTCGGGATGCCAAATATACACTTATATAAGCGCACAACTTTATCTATCGGTGATGAACGCTGCACTTTCCATCGTCTTCATGCAGGGGGCGCTGCAAAACTACGCGCCCCCTGCATGAACGACGGAGGCGCAGGGACAAGACGTTCGATTACGTTGGAATCGATCTGCAGAAGGCGGTCTTCTCGCACGGCCAGCAGCTCTATGTCGCCTTATCTCGATCCCGCAATCCCATAAAGGTGAAAGTCCGCATCGAACCGAACCCCCAGCAAGGCCATCTACTTAACGACGAGAGAAAATTCACACGAGATGTCCTTTTCAATGAAGTCTTCCAGATGTAAAATGGTACAAGCTTTTAATGAAGAAAAACAATTATCTAATTCAAAACATAATACAATTCAAAGACGTTTCATTTTAACACTTCAAAACGGAGCATCGGGTGCTTGCGTGAATGCGTCGTTCGTGTGCAATTTTTTTTCGTGACTTTCCTGGCCGAAGGCCGTAAATGGTTGTGAGGGGGCGCCAGAGGCGCCTCCCAAACATCTCCTAGTGTTTCAATAATTGTTAACTCCACCCCAGACCTGTCACAGGTGGACCAATTGACGTTCATATTCCATTTAAATTTTTATTTAAAGCTTTCGTGACTGCAGTGATTCATATTCTTGGTTCTTTCGGTAAAGTCACGTTGAAGGGAAACAATGAAATAATAAGATATATAAAACGTGACTTTACCGAAAGAACCAAGAATATGTTCATATTCCAGTTTGTTAACAGCAGCGGGAATGTGGTGGAGCGATTCCTGGGCTTTGAGCCCATTGAGAGCCACACCGGTAAAAGTTTAGCAGACTGTGTGACTGTGATGGTGGAGGACCTTGGGTTGGACCTCTCAAACTGTAGAGGTCAGTCACGTGACAATGCAAGCAACATGTCAGGAAAATACAATGAGCTACAGGCCCGTCTGAGGCAAAAAAACCCTCTGATAGAGTGTGTGCCTTGCGCAGCGCATTCACTTAACTTAGTTGGTGTTAACATCTTAGACGGCAGTGGCCGAGAAGCTGACGAGTTTTTTTTACATGTTGCAGTCACTGTACACATTTTGCTCTTCATCCACACACAGATGGGGGAAAGTCTTTTGGAAGACAGATGTCAGACTGACATTAAAATCGTTGTCCAGTACTCGGTGGAGTGCTCGGACAGAGTCAACCAAGGCACTGTGGAGAAATTACACCCACATTCGAGAGGCCTTGGGTGGTATGTGCAATGATGGTAATGAGAAAAGAGAAACTCGAATTGAGGCCGCTGGACTATGTGCGGAATTGGACACCTTAGAGAGATGGTGTTCATGGCACATTTCTGGGACGTCACACTTGACCCGTTCCACGCTAAAAGCATGCACCTACAGAAAAGTGACATTGACATCTCTGTAGCAGCACAGATTTTGTCTCCGTTGAGGGATTTTGTGGCGTGACAGTGAGATCAGTTTGAGGCTTTTAAAAAGGCAGCCTTAAATGTGAGAGGTTCTCTCTCAGTCATATAAGCACGATCTTCAGTGAAAGAGGAAACATAAAACATTTTCAGACGAGAGCTCAGAGCTAGGTGTGACACTTGAGGGGAGGGAGAAGTTCAAAAGAGAAACATTTAATGTGGTCATTGATAAGCTAGTGGCATGCCTTGAACATCGCTTGGATGCTTACAATCGTTTGACCAGTCTCTTTGGAGTTCTGTTTATGTCAGATCAGGTGTCTAAGAGTGATGTCATAGTGGAAAAGGTAAATGCACTCTCCGCTGCATATCAATCAGACCTGGACATGAACTTTGCCAATTAACTCATCCAATTCAAGTATTCATGCCTGACTCTGAGGGTGAGAAGTGCCCAACTACATTGCTTGAGACGTTGCAGGCAACTTAATCTGCAGTCAGCGTTCCCCAATGTTTTTGTGGCACTTCGGCTTTTTCTAACTTTGCCAGTGACAAACTGCCAGGGTGAGCGGACATTTGCCCCTTTTAGGCAGAATAAAAAAAATAGCTGTGGAGTAGCATGTTGCCAAACGCGTCTCAGCTCATTGTCACTTATGTCAATAGTGTCAGACCTTGGCAGACAGCGAGATTTTGACGGTCTAGTGGATGATTTTGCGAGGAAGAAGGCAAGAAAGACACCAATGTAGGAAAGCGGGGCGGGGGGCCGGGAGGGCCTCCAAAAGACACGTGACCAGGGGCCTCACGGGACCATGATCCGGCCCTGGCCAGGTCACGTCTGAAAACGAGCTGTATAGCTAACTGGGCCTTACCTTGTAAAATAAAAGTTTCCTTTCCTTTAGCACTTGTCCCCAAAGGCCTGTGTAGGTGACACGGAGGATCCTTTGTCTTTTGTGTCCGACAGGGAATGTCACGCATCTTCTCTCAGCTTCCCTTCCTGCCGAAGATCCTCTCCACTGTGGTGCGGCTGTGGTTCCACCGCCTGGGCCCCCCTTCGCTGTGCCCCCCACCGGGCCCCCCAGGGCCCCAACCAAACCCCCAAAACTCCCCCTTCCTCGCAGCGCTCGCCCCCTCCTTTCGCTCGCCCGTGGAGACGCAGGTCGCAGCCTTCCGGAAGCACCTGGTGGTGAGCGTTAGGTGAGTGTTTTGCGTGTGGGTGAGTGAGCGAGTGTGTGAGTGGGTGGGTGTGCTCACTAAACAGTACTTGCCCCAAACAGTCTATTCAGGTTATACGGGGGGGGGGGATCTTTGTCTTTGTATGTCGGGAGCTTCGAACCCGGCGGCCCGAGTTCGATTCCCGCTCACGGCAATTATCTGAGCCATTCCTGGTCCTCCCCTTGGTCGACTCAGCCTCAAATGAGTACCTGGTGCGATGTGTAAGCATCGCCACGAGGGAGACAAAGGCGGTCGGGCGTGGTGCTGGCTACCCACCCCGTCGTGTGCCGTGCCGGCCTTCATAGGTTCCACTCGCTAACAGCACTTGTCCCAACAGTCTGTCCAAGCTACATGGGGGACCACCGTCATGTGTTCCTTGGTTTATCCCTCCACATTTCGAATCAACATTTCGCGTTTAAATTATTTGGCCGCTGTAAATTTCCACATGATAAGCCCACTTCGTTGAGCTATCATTTGTGGCCAGGTCGCTTCTGAAAAATAAGCTAATTAGCTCAGTGGGCTTTGCCTGGTAAAGTAAAATAGAGTTTACTTAGTTGATATTCTTGGTTCTTTCGGTAAAGTCACGTAGAAGGGAAATAATAAAAATAAAACAGTAAAATTATCACGACGTTTCCATTGCAACACAAGCAATCATCATCAGGTGTGAAAAACCACAGCAGGAAAATGTTCTTCTACGTGACTTTACCGAAAGAACCCAGGACATGAATCCCTGCAGTCACGAAAGCTTTAAATCGAAATTTATTTAGCTTGTTGGCGATTTGCATACCTTTCCTACACTTCGCACTCCTATTGTGGGTTTTGTATTGTGTTTGTTGTTGTAGCGTTCCCCACGCTGTGCCCTGACTGGACGTCTTTCACAAAGAGCTCTTATAGCTCGTGCGTACGTACTTACGTTGAACTTCATCCACATTGGCACGTAACAAACCGCGCTAAATGGAGGTGCTATCAGCGACAAACTCTCACCGGCATTCCTCCTGCTCCTCCTCCAGCATCAATAAGTGAACGTCCCTCATCCTGACGACGCTGCCGTTCGCAGGGACCACCACCTGCAGTTCCGCGCGGGTTCTCCCCCTCCGCCGCGCCTGGCGCACACGCTCTGCTTCCTGCGCGACGTCTTCCAGCGGAGCCGCGACGCCTCCTGCAGCGCCGCCGACGTCCCCTCACTCCTCCCCTCGGCTCTCCGAGCCCTCGTTCACGTCCACGAACCTGCCGGTGCATGCTGGGATACGGCCCGCTACCGCCGCTAACCCGCCCACCCCACCCCGTGTCCGTTGTCTCGGCCGTGCCTCTCTGTTCCCGCGTGCTTCTGGTCACCCGTCTCGGCATTCGCGAGATGAGTGCCTGTTGAGCCTTCCTCGTCTCTGTGCGTGTCTCATTCTTGTGTTGTTCAGGTTATCTCTGTCCGTATTGCGTCTGCGTGTGTCTGTGTACCGCTGTTTCATCCACGCGTCTCTGTTGTCCATGTCTCTGTCTCACCTGTGTTTGTCTTGCCTATCTGTCGCTCTGTCAATCTGCGTGTCCGTTGTCGGTGTCTCTTATACAGTGGTACTTAATTCGTTGCAAGACCGTGTTCGAACACCGATTTGTACGAACACCGAATCAATTTTCCCCATGAGAATGAATGGAAATCGCATTAATTGGCTCCCCACCCAAGGATGCTTCTATTATGGGCCATTTTTACACAAAGTTTACAATATTAAAATACAGTACAGTGCATAAAAGCATAAAAAAGAAACACAGTTATAATTAATGGAATAAATGAACATTGAACTTCACTTTGACCTGTAGTAAGGAGAGTCGATAGCTTGAGTGGAAGGTGGTGAGGAAAAAAAGTTAACGGAACGATGTTTTTGGCGGGTCTGCACTGGGCGAGAGCTACGCGTGAACTGGGTTGTTCGCCTTTGTCTCGGTCGCCATGGCTACGCGTCTCGTTCGCCATGGCTACGCGTCTCGGTCGCCATGGCTACGCGTCTCGGCCCACGCAGCTTCTTTCAAGTTGTTCGACCTCCGAATTTTCGTTCAATGTCCGGGGCAAAAAATGGTGGAAAGTTTTGTTCGATCACCGAATTGTTCGAGTTCCAGGGCGTCCGATCTGCGAGGTTCTACTGTGTATGTCTCGTTCTCATCGCTGTGTATGTGTGTGTCTCCCTCTGTCCCTCTCTGTGTCTCTCTCTCTGTTGTCCACGTGTCTCAGTGCGGTCCCTGGCATCCGAGCTGCTCTCTGCGATGATGGAGACGGTCCAGTCCCACTCGGACATCGTCTCCGTCTCTTCCCTCCTCCCTCCCCTCAGGTACCAGCCCCCCCCCCCCCACCCTCACAGACACACAACAACAACAACCGCCATTCGCCACTAAGTGGCGGTGACATCACCACGACGCTTGTGCCAGGCTACGTGCACCCTGAGGCCACGTGAAGTGTCGAACGCCCGCTGGCAGGAGGTCACGGGGCAGACCCAGGTGCCACGGGTCGACTGACACACACACACACACGCACGAACCTAAATCATCATCAGAATCTTTCTTTATCCTGGAGGAATCCGATGAGCTTCGAAGCTCTTTTTCACAGATGCCCACTATGGCCACGGGGGGCAGCGAGTGACAGCGGCGACAAGTAGGCGCTCACTAACTCCGCTCTGAAGCCCCGTGATCGTGACATCTGGAGGGAGTGGCCGATCTCATCAGATTTCAAACAGCTAAGCAGGGTTGAAACATGGACAGTCGCTTTGGATGGGCAAACCACCACATCGTGCATAACAGGCTGCTGCTGCTTCTTACGGGCAGGAGAAGGTTGAGTGCCACAAAATCTCATTGCTGTGCAGAAGCCAAGCCGGTATCAAGGGTGAGAGGGACATAGAGTCGTGTAAATGTAACAAGGTGAGAGGGACATAGAGCCGTGGAAATGTGTCAAGGTGAGAGGGACATAGAGTCGTGGAAATGTGTGAAGGTGAGAGGGGTATAGAGTCGTGGGAATGTGTCAAGGTGAGAGGGAAATAGAGCCGTGGAAATGTGTCAAGGTGAGAGGGACGTAGAGTCGTGGAAATGTGTCAAGGTGAGAGGGGTATAGAGTCGTGGGAATGTGTCAAGGTGAGAGGGAAATAGAGCCGTGGAAATGTGTCAAGGTGAGAGGGACATAGAGTCGTGTAAATGTAACAAGGTGAGAGGGACGTAGAGCCGTGGAAATGTGTCAAGGTGAGAGGGACATAGAGTCGTGGAAATGTGTCAAGGTGAGAGGGACATAGAGTCGTGGAAATGTGTCAAGGTGAGAGGGACATAGAGTCGTGGAAATGTGTCAAGGTGAGAGGGACATAGAGTCGTGGAAATGTGTCAAGGTGAGAGGGACACAGAGTCGTGTAAATGTGTCAAGGTGAGAGGGACGTAGAGTCGTGGAAATGTGTCAAGGTGAGAGGGGTATTGAGTTGTGGAAATGTGTCAAGGTGAGAGGGGTATAGAGTCGTGTAAATGTGTCAAGGTGAGAGGGACGTAGAGTCGTGTAAATGTGTCAAGGTGAGAGGGACGTAGAGTCGTGGAAATGTGTCAAGGTGAGAGGGACATAGAGTCGTGTAAATGTGTCAAGGTGAGAGGGACACAGAGTCGTGGAAATGTGTCAAGGTGAGAGGGACATAGAGTCGTGGAAATGTGTTAAGGTGAGAGGGGTATAGAGTCGTGGGAATGTGTCAAGGTGAGAGGGAAATAGAGCCATGGAAATGTGTCAAGGTGAGAGGGACATAGAGTCGTGTAAATGTAACAAGGTGAGAGGGACGTAGAGCCGTGGAAATGTGTCAAGGTGAGAGGGACACAGAGTCGTGGAAATGTGTCAAGGTGAGAGGGACATAGAGCCGTGGAAATGTGTCAAGGTGAGAGGGACATAGAGCCGTGGAAATGTGTCAAGGTGAGAGGGACACAGAGTCGTGGAAATGTGTCAAGGTGAGAGGGACATAGAGTCGTGGAAATGCGTCAAGGTGAGAGGGATATACAGTGAGGGAAAAAAGTATTTGATCCCTGCTGATTTTGTACGTTTGCCCACTGACAAAGAAATGATCAGTCTATAATTTTAATGGTGGGTTTATTTGAACAGTGAGAGACAGAATAACAACAACAAAATCCAGAAAAACGCATGTCAAAAATGTTATAAATTGATTTGCATTTTAATGAAGGAAATAAGTATTTGACCCCTCTGCAAAACATGACTTAGTACTTGGTGGCAAAACCCTTGTTGGCAATCACAGAGGTCAGACGTTTCTTGTAGTTGGCCACCAGGTTTGCACACATCTCAGGAGGGATTTTGTCCCACTCCTCTTTGCAGATCTTCTCCAAGTCATTAAGGTTTCGAGGGTGACGTTTGGCAACTCGAACCTTTAGCTCCCTCCACAGATTTTCTATGGGATTAAGGTCTGGAGACTGGCTAGGCCACTCCAAGACCTTAATGTGCTTCTTCTTGAGCCACTCCTTTGTTGCCTTGGCTGTGTGTTTTGGGTCATGGTCATGCTGGAATACCCATCCACGACCCATTTTCAATGCCCTGGCTGAGGGAAGGAGGTTCTCACCCAAGATTTGACGATGGCACCGGCCATCGTCCCTATGATGCGGTGAAGTTGTCCTGTCCCCTTAGCAGAAAAACACCCCCAAAGCATAATGTTTCCACCTCCATGTTTGACGGTGAGGATGGTGTTCTTGGGGTCATAGGCAGCATTCCTCCTCCTCCAAACACGGCAAGTTGAGTTGATGCCAAAGAGCTCCATTTTGGTCTCATCTGACCACAACACTTTCACTCAGTTGTCCTTTAAATCATTCAGATGTTCATTGGCAAACTTCAGACGGGCATGTATATGTGCTTTCTTGAGCAGGGGGACCTTGCGGGCGCTGCAGGATTTCAGTCCTTCACGGCGTAGTGTGTTACAAATTGTTTTCTTGGTGACTGAGATTAGGAGCACTCCCTTTAAGAGTGTGCTCCTAATCTCAGCTCGTTACCTGTATAAAAGACACCTGGGAGCCAGAAATCTTTCTGATTGAGAGGGGGTCAAATACTTATTTCCCTCATTAAAATGCAAATCAATTTATAACATTTTTGACATGCGTTTTTCTGGATTTTCTTGTTGTTATTATGTCTTTCACTGTTCAAATAAACCTACCATTAAAATGATAGACTGATCATTTCTTCGTCAGTGGGCAAACGTACAAAATCAGCAGGGGATCAAATACTTTTTTCCCTCACTGTAGAGTTGTGTGACTGTGTCAAGGTGGGAGGGAGTCGTGTGATAGTGTCAAGGTGAGAGGGATGTAGAGTTGTGTGAATGTGTCAAGGTGAGAGGGACAAGTGTCAAGGTGAGTGGGATAGAGTTGTGTGAATGTGTCAAGGTGAGAGGGACAAGTGTCAAAGTGAGAGGGATGTATAGTCGTGTGAATGTGTAAATTCGAAGTTCTCTGAACCACGTGTACCTCTTTCTGCCTCTCGGTGTAATTTTCTCCATCTTTATTAATAACAATAATTACTATATTATTATTCGTAAACAATCATTCATAAGTATTAATGGGCAATTATTATTAATAATTATTTATTATTGTTTTTGATGCGTCGGCCATCATGGCGCCGTCCCTCGTAGCTGTGACCTATCCCAGGCCCGCGTATTTGCCGGGCTGAATGTACTGCCCGGCTAAAACATCTAATGAATATTAAACGCTCCAACTTCATTCCGAGATTTTTTTAATAATGGGGAGGGTGTGGGTGGGTGGGTGGGGTGGGGTCGGTGGGAGGGGGGCGGGCAAGCAACAAAAAAAGACGAAGTTGCCGCGTGAATATTCAACGGCGGTATTTTTCATTTTTTCGGCTGTTGTTGTTGCAAGAACGCCACAAACAAAAATGAATCTCGTTAGTTTTAATGGAAATTAAAAGCACTGGTGCCCTGGGCTATCGTGGCGTTCAGATTTAACATAATCTATGAAATTGCCTAGCGAGTTTTATTTTATTCATATTTTTTTCGCTGCAAAAAGTTGCGGGAGCGTAGCTTGGGGGCGATTTGGATGCTCCTGCTCAAGAGTTGGGTCGCTGCTCGAAATGAGCATAGCGGAGGATCGGCGATGATTATTAGCATATTTGGTATGGTTGGGGAGTGTTTAATGTAGACTGCGTGGTGTGGTGTGGTGTGCAGTTGTCTGCGTTTGTAGTTGGGTGTGGTTGTGGTGTGTGCGCGTGTGTGTTTATGCGGGAGCTGGAGTGTAGCGGTGAGTGCGCTGCGCTACGGACCTGGTGACCCGAGTCCGATTCCCGCTCACTCAAACTAAAAACTTTTTTTTTATTTTTCCGGGTAAGGCCCACTGAGCTACTATATGTAGCTGTTTTGTCAGAAGCGACCTGGCCATCACGAACGATAGCTCACACGAAATGGCTTCTCATCGCGTGGGAATTTACATCAGCGGACAAATACTCCAAACGCGTGTTTCTAAACGTGGAGGGAAAAACCGGAGGGCTCGTAGAAAAATCCACGCAACCACGGGGAGAACATGCAAATAACAGTGGCGAATATTTGAACTGGTCCTGGGCCCTCCCCTAGGTCCACTCAGCCTCAAATGAGTACCTGGTGCAGTGTATAAACATCGCCACTAGGGAGACAAAGGTGGCCGGGCATGGTGCTGTCCACACACTCTCTCGTGTGCCGTGCCGGCCTTTGTAGGTGTTACTCGCGAACAGCACTTGCCCCTACAGTCTGTTAAGGACATCGGTGAGTCTTTGGCTTTGTGTGTGTGGGAGGGGATTTGGGTGGAGTGGTGGCGCAGTGGTTAGCACACCCGCCTACGAACATGCCGATGGCCCGGGTTTAATTCTCACTCACAATAACGGTGGCAAATATTTGAACCGGTCCTGGGCCTGCCCTTGGGTTGCCTCAGCTTTACATGAGTAAATGAGCACCTGGTACGGGGGAGGCAAAGGTTGGCTAACTCATGGTCCTGGCCACCCACCCCCTCAGGGTAGGTGCAGTTAGCGAGCAATCTATTAAGCCCGTCAAAGCCCGTGTGGTGTGGGCGGTGTGGGCCAGCGACTTTCCCGGTTGCCCTTTGTCTCGCCAGATTCTCAATTAAGGGCTGAGTCAATCAGTTGGGAGGGGTCCCACGACCGAATTAGGTGATCACTGTCCATTGATGTTGGCTGTGGGGCCGGGAGATGAACTCAGGTTTTCCGGGTTCGTAGTGCAGCACGCTAACCACCGTGCCGCCACTACGCCACACACACACAGTAAAAAACACTCACACGTTCACTCACTCATTCGCATATAAACTCACTGAGTACAAGCCCTTA